ATGACATGTTAAGAGCAAGAGAAGAATAGGCTGAGTGCATTTACTAATTCCTATAAAATGTAAATAGACCTAGAGGTACACCTAGGGTGTTCCTTATGGAGAATGTGTGGAGGAATATAATCACACCAAAGGCATGGATGGTTTGTAATCAGCACTTACAGAATGAGTGCCCACGTTAACAAGTTCATAGATCCAGCCAAATATATCTCTCTAAAGAGAATAATCTTTGGAATGGAATTGATGGAACACAACTGATGGCTAAAAAAGAAAGTAAAACAGAAAAAGAAAAGTACAAATAGGCAAAAGAGAGACCTGGGCACCTTTTGATAAATTCAAGTCACCAAGCTCAGATGAACTACATTCCAGAGCACAAAATAGATGGATATGATTCCTGAGCTATTGTCAATGATCTTTGAAAGATTATGAAGAATGGGAGAAGTGGCAGAGGACTTTCAGTTCAATCATTTTTCAGTTGTGTCTGACTCTTCGTGACCCTATTTGGAGTTTTATTGGCAAAGATACTGGAGTGGTTTGCCATTTCCTTCTCCAGCTCATTTTACAGATGAGGAAACTGAGGCAAGCAGGGTTAAGTGACTTGTCCAGGGTGTTTGAGGCTGCATTTGAACTCAGGAAGATGAATCTTCCTGACTTCAGGCCCAGTAGTCTAACTCCTGTGCTACCTAGCTGTCCAAGGACCAGAGAAGGACAAATATACCTGTTTTCAAAATAAAGAAGAGAATGGAGTTTATTTAGTCTGCAAACTATAGGCCACAGAGGTGGCTCAATTTTAAATTCCTAACAAAATTGTAGAATGTATTATAAAATGGATGCTTAGTAAATTTGGAAAATCAAAGTCATTAAAAAGAGCCAGAATAGTTTGATAAAAAAGAGTTCAGGGCAGCTAGGTGGTACAGTGGATAGAGCACCAGGCCTGGAGTCATCTTCCTGAGTTCAAATGTGTCCTCAAACACTTACTAGCTGTGTGACCCTGGACAAGTCATTTACCCCAATTGCCTCTCTCAAAAGAGAGAGAAAGAGAGAGAGAGAGAGAAAGAGAGAGAGAGAGAGAGAGAGAGAGAGAGAGAGAGAGAGAGAGAGAGAGAGAGAGAGAGAGAGAGAGAGAGAGAGAGAGAGAGAGAGAGAGAGAGAGAGGTCAAAGAACCAAGACAGTTTCTTCAAAAAAGGTCTTTTTTTAAAATTTTTAAAAAAAATTTTGTTTAACAGGGCTGCTGGACTGGGAGAGGATCAGATTCAATCAATCAATCAATCAATCAATCATTCAATAAACATTAAGGGCCTACTAAGTGCCAGGCGCTGTGCTAAGCACGGGATACAAAAAGAGGCAAAAGACAGTGCCTGTCCTACAATCTAATGGGAAAGAAAATATGCAAACAAATACATACAAAGCAAACTAGATACAGGATAATTAAGAAATAATTAACAGAGGGAAGGCACTGGAATCAAGAAGGGTTGGGGAAGGCTGCCCGTAGAAGTTGGGATTTTAGTTGGGACTTAAAGGAAACCAGGGAGGTCAGTAGTTGGAGCAACGGAGGAAGAGTGTTCCACATATGGGGGACAGCCAGAAAGAGTGCTTGGAGCTGAGAAATGGGGTGTATTATTCATGGCACAGCCAGAAGGCTAGTGTCACTAAATTGAAGCGTATAAGTCAAGGAAAAAGGCAGAAGAAGACCAGAAAGGTAGGAGGAGGCTAGGTTTTGAAGGGCTTTGGATGCCAAACACAGCATTTGGTATTCTCCTGGGGTTTGTTGGGGGTGGGGGTTGTGCTGATTGGACCTGCACTTTAGGAGAATCACTTTAGCAGCTGAATAGAGGGTGGATTGGAGTGGGAGAGACTTCAGGCAGGCAGACCCCCCCAGGCTGTTGCAATATGGTGCATGAGGGCCTGTATTAGAGGGGTGGGCAGTGTCAGAGGAGAGAAGGGGCCATAAAGGAGAGATGCAGCAAAAGTGAAATTGACAGGCCTTGGCAACAAATTGGACAGGAGGATGGGGGTGAGAGATAGTGGGGAATCCACAGGATGACTTCTAGGTTGTGAGCCTGAGGGACTGGGAGGGCGGTGCAGTCCTCTACAGAAATAGAGAAGGTAGAAAGGGGGGAAGGGTTAGGAGGAAAGATAAGAAGCTCTGTTTTAGACATATTGGGTTTAAGACGTCCATTGGGCATCCAGTTGGAGATGAGAGATTGGAGGTCAGCAGAAAGACTGTGGCAGGATAGGTAGATTTGAGAATCATTAGCACAGAGATGATAATTAAATCCATGGGAGCTGATGAGATCACCAAGTGAAGTAGTGTGGAAGGAGAAGAGAAGAGGGCTCAGGACAGAGCCCTGAGGGACACCTATGGTTAGAGGGTGTGATCTGGGTGAAGGAGACTGAGGAGAGATCAGATAGGTAGGAGGAAAACCAGGAGAGAGTGGCATCCTAAAAATGCAGAGTGAAGAAAGTATCAAGGAGAGAGTGATGATAGTATCAAAGACTGAGAGAGGTCAAGGAGGCTGAGGATTGAAAAAAGGCCATTGGATGTGGTGGCTAAGAAATCATTAGTAACTTTAGAGAGAGTAGTTGTGGTGGAATGATAAGCCAGATTGTAAAAGGTTAACACAAGAGTGAGAGGAGAGAAAGTGGAAGCACCTATTGTAGACAGCCTTTTCCTCCCAGCCTTCCCCAAATCTTCTTATACCTTACACTGTGCTATTATTATCCCCCTTTTACAGTTGAGGAAACTGAGGCAAACAGAGGTTGTGACTTACTCAGGGTCACACTGCTATGAAGTGTCTAAGGCTGGGTTTCAACTCAGGTCTTGCTGACTCTAGGCTCAGTGCCCTATCCACTGTGCCTAGATCTAGATGCCTTTAGGATACAGAAATAAATATTAATCTTAATATAATATATAAAATATTAAAAATAAATATAAAAGCTATCAATAAAACTTTTTTTTAAAGAAGCCTACAATGTGGCAGGAGAAATGAGGTATGGGCACAGAAAACCATAATATAAAGAGACACAATATGGCCAGTATGAGAAGAAAGGTGTGAACAAAGTGTAGTATGAGGTTTTAGGAAGGAGCCCTTACATCTGGCTGGTGGGGATCAGGGAAAGCTTCGTGGAGGAGGAAGAATTTTGGGCTAGACCTTGAAGGTCAGATAAGGTTTTGAGATAGGAAATGGGGGAAAGGATCATTCCAGGACTAGGAATAGAAGACATTCTGCAGTTTGTTACAAAAGCTGTAAAATCTGTTCTCTAATACATTCAACTTGTTTACAGTTAATGAAGAGAAAAAAAACCTCATTCTCATCATCTATTATGGGACAAAGTTCATCTTTGCTTCACTATTTTCAGTTTCTTTTGTTACAAAGTCCAGATGATAATGATGATGATGATAATGATGATAACTAGGACTTATATAACACTTTAAGGTTTGCAAAGTGCTTTACATATGTTAACTCATTTGGTCCACACAATAATCCTGCGAAGTAGGTGTTATTCTTATCCCCATTTTGCAGATGAGGAAACTGAAGCAGGGAGAGGCTAAATGACTTGCCCTAGGTCACAGCTAGCAAGTATTTGAGGCATGAATTGAACTCAGATTTTCCACAATGTGCTTTGAATATAGATTCCTTTATTAGCTAGATTGATTACTATTAGAAATCAACAAGCCCTTAGGATTTACTATGTACCAAGCACTATCATTATTATTTCCTACAGTCAGGATCCCAAAGCATATAGGGGTCATTAATAGAATGAGAGAGGCTAGGGATAGTATGGCAAATTTGGATCTGTAAGAAAGGCAGCAGTAGTCAGGATTGGGGAGCTGCTGAAACTAAAAAATGATTTAAATTTGCACTTGAAATTTAACAAGATTGAGGTAAGATATTCACCAGTTGTTAGATAGGAAGATATGTTATGGAGATGTAAGAAAATGGGCAAGAAAATGATACTTCTTTTAAAATGTCTATTTCTGCAGACTCTATCCCAGCCCTGAGGATGCTTGGGAAATACTGAAACATAGAAATACTGGTAGTGATTCTGTTGCATCATAGAATTAGTCCATCATGTTACACATGAAGAAACAATCCAGAAGGTCACTGTCCCATAGTCCAAAGTAGCACAGCTGAGCTTTGCATCCAGGTTCTCTGACTTCAAACCCTGTGCTCTTTCCTCTGCATCTGAACACTGGGAAATCTTGTTCACTCACCTTTTATCCTTCTGGGTCAGAGCACATGTGCATTATGATTCTCACTACAGACTAGTTTTCCCACATGCAAAATCATTTCCTTGCCCCAACCCAAGCTCTTTTACCTCCTTTCCATTATGTTTCCTTACATAACAGGCTACTTTTTACAAATTTGTGAGCCTAGGCTCCATCTTCACTAAATGGCAATAAAACAAAACATGAGAAACTCCAACAGAAATCACACCTCAGGCAAGGAATTGAAACTTGGGTTGGAAATCAATCTGACCTTTTGTTAATTTATTTAATGGAGACAGAAGATGTAGTGACAGAGGTTAGAGGTTGGGCAGAGGGACTTTTTTTCTTTTAAATTAAAGTCACTTTATCCAAACAAAATAGGGAAAAATCCTTTCTCCCCTCCCTCCCCTTTCAAAACTGGTCTCTACTCAGGTTCAGTAGCAAGATAAATTAAATCTGAAGATAAAGCTTGTCAATCTAAAGACACCAGAGGAGAATCATAACAATCTCATGCCACATCATTAACCATCCTTCAATTTATAGTCTAGGAGATAAAATCCAACACTAACACTTCAAGACAACCATGGCCTCCACACAACCACTGACCCAAGTAATGGTATATATTTAAGCATTTTGCTTTAGGCCGGGAAATGACTGGACAATATTGAGTGTAACAGTAAGTAGCAGAAAAGGAAAAAACAACCCCTTCTCAAAGAAAGATAGGCAGAAAAGGAGGGGGGTTGAGGGGGATTCGGAACTGGTTACACCCTTGGTGTTCATTTTTGAAGGGCAGTTTGGTCATTCTAAAACACTCCTTGGAAATGACTCTCATTGCTTCTAACTGATGAGTTTGGGAAGAGTGGTTCTCCTGGAATTTGTGGATTTCATTAGAATCTCCTAACTTTGGTACAAGAAAAAAAATGCGTGAAATTGTACATATTCAGATTGGCCAGTGTGGGAACCAGATTGGATCCAAGGTAAGATGAATTTGATTATGAGTACTGTATTTCTATGATTGATGCATAGTATCCAAAGATCACAAGCCTAGCACTGACGCACAATATTTATTGATTAGGCCAGTTAGGAACATGTCTAGTATTTGAAACAAAGGTAAAAATGACCCACAAATTTGAAAAAATTTGACAATTAGGCTAATATAATTTGTGGTTAAATTTGTATAACATGTACATATATGACATAATACAATTTATAGAAAACTTTCTATTATATTTATGCCTCAACAGGCTATTATATATAGCATGGTACTTTTTATCACATTTGAAGAAAAGTGATTTATTTCAAAATCAGTTTCTGAAAGTTGGTGGAGGAAGTATGCCAATCTGAAATACAAGTTTTGCTGAACAATACCTGAATTATTGTTTTACCATAGTAGATTTTGGAAGGCAATTTTCATTCATTTTTCTTCAAACAAAGTTCACCAAAATTTTTCCTATTTAGTTTATTAATATTCAGCAACAAAAAACAGGCTCAACATGTCAAATGTTAAAATTTTGAGATCGCTAATTCTAATGAGTACCAGCTGATAATATATTTTTGTTTTTACTTAGGTGATTTAAGCATGGCGTACTTTAATATTTGCTTTTTATTTCTGTGACCTTTAGAGGCAGGTGCACTTTAGAAATGGAACAAAGAATATTCCTGTCAATAAAAGTCAAAATTATAGGGAAGAGTCATAGGGCATTTAAAACTAAAATACAGACACAGGAGGGTGGGGCTGCCTTAACCTCACAGTTCTGCGGTTCAGAGATAAGACAACAGAGGACCACAAATGAATGGAAGTTCTAGATATGGCCTTCTTTCTTTTTCCAGAGCAGCAGTGTGGTCTAGTGGTCAGTGCATTAAAAAATGGTTATTATTTTGAGTCTATAAAAAAGGTAAATGCATGTTTATTTTGTGGTACTTATATAATTCATACTCCTTTATAACTCTCTCCAAGGAACAGTATTATGATTTGTCATATCTTATTAAGAAATACATCTTTATAATTCAAATTATTGCTATTTTGGAAAGAACATTACATTGGAGTCAGAAACTCTAAATTTCAACCTATGTTCTACCACTTAATACCTATGTAACCTTGAACAAATGACTTAACCTCCATGGGTCTTAGTTTCTTCACCTATTAAAAAAAAAAGAGGGGAAGGGAGCTTTAGGCTAGATGATCTTTAAGGTCTTTTGAGCCTTAATACTCTATAAGATAAGAGAGCAAGGGCTCAAAATGTAAAGAGCAGGAAGGATGGATATTTCAGGAACAGGGGAAATCCTATCCAAGGCAAAGAGGATGGAGATGGAATGTGCACTGGGAACCACAAGTAGGCCAACTGGACGAACTTGGAGTGCATGGGGTTGGGGTGTGTGTGGGGGTGTAATGTGAAATAGTATGGAGTCATGAGTCCATCTATCCTCTTTCTTCTTTCAGTTCTGGGAAGTGATTGGGGATGAGCATGGGATTGATGCCACTGGAAGCTACCATGGAGACTCAGCCCTGCAGCTTGAGAGAATCAATGTTTACTACAATGAAGCCTATGGTATACTACTGGCACGCATTTTCACTAAACTCCTTCCAGGAGTCAGGCAAAGGCAGCCAAAGGAAAAAGATGTAAAAACACAGAGGATGCCTAACTGACAAGTCAATCAATTGACAATTGATTGCCGACAATGGCTAGGCAGGCAGGCAGATTTCCAAAACAATCAACAAACCCAACCCCAAGCCCCAGAAAGAAGTATCTGAAACTACTTTGCATACAGTAGGCACTTAACAAACATTCATTGAATTAGGTACAAAGTGCAAAAGTATGCTTAAGGTATTTGAGCATTGTCATTTAGTTATGAATTGGTTAGATATTAGAAAATTTTCCATGGAGAGGTAGTCATATCCCCTGAATTGCAAATGCTAGAGAATGGAGGAAGAAATGATTAGAAGATGAAAACTTTTGGTAGAGAGGCAGTGTGGTATGTAAACTAGACTACTGGATTTGGAGTCCAAAGGTCTTTACCAGAATTAAAATGGCATTTCTGATGCTTACTTTACTAGCTATAGGGTCATGGGCCAGTCTTCCCTGATTTTTAAGCAACTAAGATGAGATGTATCTGCTGAGCTATATAGTCTGGTTGGGATCTGCCTTGGTGAAGGAGTTCCCACACTAATGAAATGACATATCATTTTAGAGATTTTAAGGAATTTTGTACTGTAGAAAAGAATAAAATGGATGACTCTGAAGTCTCTTCCTGTACTCTTTTCTGGAGTCCTACGATCCCAGTAGACTCCCCCACTAGCCTATAAGCTTCTTGAGGGCTTTTTTTTTCTTTTTCCCCCTTCTGGTATCCTCAGTCCTTATCATCATTCATAGAACAAAGTAGGGGCCTAATAAATGCTTATTGATTGGTTATCTACATAAATATCCAATGGATCTATGCTAACAAAAACAATAACCTTTAGAAATGTTTTTCTATTTCTAAACCAGCTAAAAAGTATGTGCCCCGCGCTGTCTTAGTGGATCTGGAACCTGGTACCATGGATAGCATCAGGTCTAGCAGATTAGGAACCCTCTTTCAACCTGACAGTTTTGTTCACGGTAGGTATTACCAAGGCATTAACTGGAGTAAATGCAAATTTATTTCACAAATGCATAATAATACTGCCACTTTCTCTTCACTTGACTTTTCTCATCCCTATCCTGAGTGTAGTAACCCTGAAGACTTCTCTTGCTACAGGTAATTCGGGAGCTGGCAACAACTGGGCAAAGGGCCATTATACGGAGGGAGCTGAACTGATTGAACATGTGATGGATGTGGTCAGGAATGAGAGTGAGAGCTGCGACTGCCTCCAGGGTTTCCAGATAGTCCACTCACTGGGGGGAGGGACTGGATCTGGTATGGGTACTCTCCTTATGAATAAGATCAGAGAAGAATATCCAGACCGGATTATGAATTCCTTTAGCATAATGCCTTCCCCCAAAGTGTCTGACACAGTCGTAGAGCCATACAATGCCGTACTTTCCATTCACCAGCTCATTGAGAACACCGATGCATGCTTCTGTATCGATAATGAAGCCCTCTATGATATATGCTTCAGAACCTTAAAGTTGACAACTCCCACCTATGGTGATCTCAACCACTTGGTGTCCTTGACAATGAGTGGGATCACCACCTCCCTCCGCTTTCCTGGTCAACTTAACGCTGACCTGAGAAAATTGGCGGTGAACATGGTTCCTTTCCCCCGGCTCCACTTTTTTATGCCTGGCTTTGCCCCATTGACAGCCCGTGGCAGTCAGCAGTACAGGGCTCTCTCGGTCTCTGAGCTCACCCAGCAGATGTTCGATGCTCGCAACATGATGGCAGCCTGTGACCCTCGCCATGGCCGTTACTTAACCGTAGCCTGTATTTTTCGAGGCAAGATGTCCACCAAGGAAGTGGATGAGCAGTTGCTCATGATACAGACCAGAAATAGTGGTTATTTTGTGGAGTGGATTCCCAACAATGTCAAAGTGGCTGTATGTGACATCCCACCACGGGGGCTAAACATGGCTGCCACCTTTATAGGGAATAACACTGCAATTCAGGAGCTATTTATCAGGGTTTCTGAGCAGTTCTCAGCTATGTTCAAAAGGAAGGCCTTTGTCCACTGGTACACTGGTGAAGGGATGGACATAAGTGAATTTGGAGAAGCAGAAGGTAACATCCATGACTTGGTATCAGAATATCAACAATACCAAGATGCCAGAGCAATCCTGGAGAAGTATGAGGAGGCAGAGGAAGTTGAGATAGAACTAGAAGAAAAAGAACAGTAAACAGTGGAATAAGAGGAAAAAATGCTTAGATGTGAGGTAACCACTCTATCAAAGATATAATCAAGAATTTTGCTTAGCATAGTTTTTGGCATTTTTCTTTTTAAACCATTTTGGTTTTATGTTCCAAATACAGTGAAGAATGGACATCAATTATTTTTTTCTTTGATGGGGTTTTGGGTGGGATGAGGAATGAATATGGGAAACAAACAGATTAAAGCATTGAATTCCTAGCACTAGCATTTACCACATTTAGGAGCTTATAGTTTAACTGCAGACTGCATGTCAATTGATTTAATATGGTAAATTTGTTGATAAACATTATAATCATTCTTTTAATATTTATCAGATGTCTACTATATCCAAAGCACTGTGTTAGGGAGCAAGGGGGAGGCTACCTCTCTGGTCTGGCAGGGAATCATTGCAGCTTGAATCAACTCCAAAATTCTTTGGGGAGATAAACTGATCTGGGGAAGAGGGGGTTTGGGGATTCTTGCTGAACATCTCTGAGATAGTCTACTTTGAACCTCCTGCTAACCAAGCTTTATCTCATACCTTTCTGCTGGCTACCTGAAACCTCAGAGGAAATAAGACAGCCTAACTGTTAGGTTTCACTACAATTAAGTAAATACATATTCAAAATGTATTTAAATGGACATTATTAGTAAATCTAATTTGTAAAAATCATTGTGTGCTGGCTAGAAAAAAATTGAGAAAATGACTACCTCTAAAGCACAGGTAGCTCCCCACAAAGCATTTAAATAGTCTTAGATTACTAAATTGTTTTAAAAATTTTTTTAAATATTTATTTTGGTCATTATAGATTAGATTCACAAGAATATTATGTGGTTTTTAAAAATTCTTGATCCACTTTCATTTATATTCAGAAAATGCTTTGCAATCAGCTTGGCTTTAGAAAAAAGGAAATAAATCTACAGATACACACAAATGTAGAAACTACTGAAATTTAGGAATTAAGCAATTACCATTACAATGTGCTTCTCAGGAACTGAAAACAAAATCTCTCATTAGGGAACATTTATACTTTAACTGCAGAGGTTGCTACAAATGGCAGCATTCTGAGACACTCTTAACTATAATACAATTTTAATCTGCTCATATTATAATAAGACTAAATCTATTAGAGCAAAATCTGGTAACGTATAACCTCTTAATTACATTTTACCTGTCTCTACTAAAGACAATTACAACTGCCATTCCTTTTCTACACTATAAGGAATATAAGGTTGTCTTTTTTTTTAGCATTATCATTTAACTATGTTATTTGATCCAGTTGTTAAAAAAAAAGGCACTTCAATCTTCCTTACACTGAAAATGTCTTTTTAAGCAATTGGGTTTCCATTCCTCTTATTTGCTTTTGTAATTGGCTAGAATAAATATAGGGACAGCAGGAAGTGGGAGGGTGAGGAAGTGGTACAATCTGACTAGAATGTTGCTTTTTTAAAAATAAGGCACCATGGTAACACCAAAGCAAAGGTAGTCAAGAAAAAGTTTGCCAAGGAAATAAGACTGACCATCTGCATTACTGATACTTTCGATATTTACAGATATCAAATCTAGTGCCTTTAAACCATTTTCTACTTGTAGAGGACACATTGAATTCAATTCAATAAATTAAAGGATTTACTGTACAGAGTACTGTTTAGCACTAAGGGAGATAAGAAGATAAATCATACAAAGCCCCCTACCCTCCAAATTTCACTATTTAATAGTGAATATCAAGTGTATAAAATTAACTAGTGCAAAATAGACTATTAAAAGTGTCTAAGAGATGTACAGGGAGTTCAGAGGAGGAAAAAGGTGACATGTTCTGGCAGGGCCAGAAAAAGCTCTGTGGAGAAGGTAGAATTTGATCTGGACATTGAAAAATGGGTAGGATTTCAACAAGTGGATATTAGGACGAAAGGAAAGGCAAGGCTGGGGGAGTGAAGGAAATGTCAGGCATAGGGAACAGCAAAAACAGAGGCATTAAAAAAACCCCTCAGAATATGTTCAGACTGTCAAGTTTGGTTGGATCATAGCAGATGAAGTAAAGAACTGAGGTAAGGATGGAAAGAGAAGTTGAAGGCACATTTCAGGGGACTCTGAATAGCAGGCTAAGGAGTTCATTGACATGGTACATAATGGGGAGCTGCTGAGGCTCTTTAGCTTCAAAGGAGTGAAGGGATCAGAGGGTGTACAAGAAGGAATAATGTGTCAGCAACAACTAAGCATGGGTCTAGATGGAAAGAGCCTAGAGGCCATAAGTCTGGTTAGGAAACTATATCATAGTCCACATAAGAAGTAAGGGGGGGAAGAGGGAACAAATGAGGCTATTAGTCTAAACTGAAAGGAGAAAAATGGACAAACCCAAATGGAAAACAATTATTTGCCATTTATTTACCATATGCCAAGCACTGTGCAAAATGCTGGGTATACAAATACAGTACAAGAGTGAGGCAGTCCTTGCCTTCAAAGAGCTTATTTACAATAAATCTACAATAAATTAACAATTTACAAACTAATTTACAAGGGACACAAAACTTATAGGGAACATTTGTCCAGGGAAGGGTGCTTTGGCCTGGGAATTCAAAGAGATGTTGAATGAAGCCATAGGGGAGTCCATTAACACATCCTTTCCACATGCAATGATATTTATTTGATGATTAGAGTGAACATCTGGGTGAGATGTGAGTATGGTAGGGCTGGTGTGGGACTGGATAGATGTGGTGGGCTATGTGAGTTTTCTCTCATTCATCAATCAGGACAGCTTAGCTCTAGAGTAGGAGTTCCAAAGTTCAGCTGATTAAGTACCCCTGGAAAGGTCAGAGGGTGCTCCAAGTGGTAGGATGCAAGGAGATGGCATATGTGGATGACTGGATTGGATAGAAAGCATGAATTCTGTAGATCTAATAGAACTTCCAATGGATGAGATGGGAAACGGGTCAAAGATGACTAAGCATGGGTGACTGAGAAAATAATAGTGTTAGTTTTTTTTTTTGTTTTGTTTTTTGGTGAGGCAATCAGGGTTAAATGACTTGCTCAGGGTCACACAGCTAGTAAATGTTATGTGTCTGCAACCAGATTTGAACTGAGGTCCTCCTGACTCCAATGCCAGAGCTCTATCCACTTAGCTGCCCCAATAGTAGTGTTATTAATAGCAACAGGGAAGTCAAGAGAAAACAGTGGTTGCATTTAGTGAGAACCTGTTAACATATAGCTGTTGGGGTGGCTAATTCTTTAGACCCTAAGATAAGCTTACGTTTACTGAAAAATTATACACGTGCTTGAGAACTTTTGATGCAAAATATGAAAAAGCAACTAGGTATGTGTTAGTAGAATGTTGCATTTCAAGCCTGGAGAGATCTTCTAAACTTTAATAGCTGTTTAACCTCACCTGTCAAGATAATACCTATGGTACCTGTAAGTTGTATCAACTGAGAAAAGCATGTAAAAATATCAGCTATCATCAACATGTAGCTATGTGAATGTATCAAAAATATGTCTGCTGACTTATAATTCTTATATTCATGTCTGTGAACAAAAAGAAAAGTCAAAGGACATAAAAAATTTAAATGATTTAAGTTCATTTTTTTCTTTGAATCATATATATACAACTAATTCATTTTCTCTAAACCCTGTTCAAACTGATTCTTCATTTGTTTACTCAAAAATACTCCAAAATAAGTCACTTTCCTAATTTATACCATAGCAATAGATTAAAAAGGAAAAAAAATTTGAACTGAATATTTTTCTTTCGAGTTTGGAAAATTGTTCCTTCTACAATATTTCTAAGATGACCTAACAGTCCATGAGATAGGATTGTAGAATTTGGAGCTAAAAAGAATCTTGGAGATCATCTAATTCAACACCTTTATTTTATAGAGGAAGAAATACACCCAGAAAGATTGGAAATTTGCTTTAGTTCACTCAGCTAACAAATGGTAAAACCAGTACTAGAATTTCTAATACCAACCCCAAAAGGCAGACATCATCTTGATGCAAAAGACTTCAGCAGTTTTTTTTTTTTTGCTCTAGACCAGGGGTTCTTTTTTTTCCTTTTTTTTTTTTTAAGGGCAGTCTAGGGGTAAGTAACTTGCCCAGGATCACACAGCTAGTAAGTGTCTGAGGCTGGATTTGAACTCTGGCCCTTTTGACCCCAGGGGCCAGTGTTCTACACACCATGACACCTAGCTGCCCTAGACCAAGAGTTCTTAACTTTTTTTGTGTCATAGACTTGTCTGACAGTCTGATGAAACTTAGGGACCCCTTCTCAGAATAACTTTTTTAAATGCATAAAACAAAATACATAGGATTACCAAGGAAACCAATCACACTGAAATAGTTACAAAAATATTTTTAAAATTTAAAGCTTGTTCTTTGAACAAAATTAATGCAGCTAAAATAAGAAGGAATGCTACCAAACGAGAAAAAACTGCATTAAATTTCTCAGATAAAGGTTTGGCATCCAAGATACAGAGGTAAACATATCTAGCTCATATATATGTGACTGTATCAAGAGCAAGTCCTCAACAGATAAGTGGTCAAAAGATATGAATAAACAGTTCTCAAAGAAAGAATTACAAACTATTAACAATCGCGCAAGAATGGTTGAAATAACTAATAATGAGAAATAGAAAACAAAAACCCCCCTAAAGTTTCATCTTATACCCAGCAAATTGGTAAAGACGACAAAAAATGGGAATAGTCAACTCTGGAGGATTGTGGGAAGATAGATAACACTGGTACTTTGTTGGTAGAGCTATGAATCAGTACAATCACTTTGAAAGCAATTAGGAATTATGCAAATAAAGTAACTAGAATGTCTACACTCTTTGATCCAGAGATTCCACTACTAGGCATGTACTCTCAAAGAAGAAATTTGTAAGTTCCTGTATACACCAAAATATTTACAGCAGCATTATTCATGGTAGCAAAAAACTGGCAACAAAGTAGATATCCACTGATTGGGGGATGGCTAAACAAATTACAGTATACGAATATAATGGAATATTATTGTACTGTAAGAAATGACAGATATCAAGAATACAGGGAAATAGAGAAAAACTTACATGAACTGATACAGAGTGAAGAAGTAGAGCCAAGGAAACAAAATATACAATATACACAAAAAATGTGAATGAAAAAACAATAACCATAAAACAACTACAAGTGAATTCAGAATTGCCAAGTATGACCCCAAAGAAGAGATATGAGAAAAAAAGCTCCCCTTTGCAGAGGTGGAGGTTCATGGATGTGGAATATTACATACATTTTCAGACTTTTTTGGCGCACTGATTTGATTTTGCCATTCTTTTTCTCTTCCTCTTTTTTTTTCTTCTTTAAAAAATATTATTTGTTATATGATGGTTTCCAGGGAAAGGGAGGGATACTGGGAGAAATTTAGGTAATTTAAAAACAAAGGCTATCAATCAAAATTTGTGGGTTTTTTTTTTAAAGTTCACAGACATCAGACTAAGGACTGCTGCTCTAGATCAACTCTGGCCTTAAAGCCCTTTACAATGTAGCTCCAAGCTAATTATACATTGCTCCCCTTTCTGCACTCTCAGTCTGCCACATTGGCTTACTGCCATTCTGCTTGCATAATGCCCCAGCTGCTTATTTTGGGCCTGTGCACTAGGTTTGCCACAAGGCTTGGATTCACCTCCTGCCCACCTCAACCTCTTAAGGCCCCCAGCTTTCTTCTGGCTCAGGTGAAGGGCCAATGCCTACATGTGGCCTTTTCCAAACCCCAACTCGTAGTGCTTCCCCCAGCCCAAAACTTTTTTCTCTGTGTCTGTTTATGTTTAAATTTTAGCACTGCCTCTCCAACCCCCAACAACAACAACAACAACAGCAAATGTGGAATTTAAATTCCTTGAGGGCAGAGGTTATTTTATTTGTTTTTGAAGCTTTAGATCCTGCTTGACATCCCTTGGCTCTTAATAAATACTTGTTGATCGATTCAACAACACACTTGGGATCTTAGCCAAAAGAGTCTTTTGACAGAGCACTCTTAAGGATTCAGTTCAAAAAACATTTATTAAGCACTTAATAGATGCAGGCAACGAGAATATAAAAGACAAAGGGAAATAGTTCCTTCTTCAAGAAACCTATAGCAGCTCAACAGTCTATGGATAGATTTCCTGGGCCTGGAGCCAGGAAGACCTGAGTTCAAATCCAGTCTCAGACACTTCCTAGCTGTGTGTGACTCTCTGTTTGCCTCAGTTTCCTCATCTGTAAAATGTAGATTAATAACAGCCCCTAACTTCTAGGGTTGTTGTGAGTATCAAAGGAGATATCTGTAAAGCACTTAGCACAGTGCCTGGTGTTATTATTCTTTTTAGGGAAAACATTAACATATAAACATAGATACAAAATATGCAGAATAATTTCTTGGGGAGCAAACTGGCCTATTGGGATGGGACTGACATGGATTACATCCTTTTCTAAACAAGTATTTCAAAATATGTCATCTTCCTCTTCAGGAAAGTAGCGTAATAAACTAGAAAAAACAACAGGCAAGAAGTTAAGAGACCTAGTTTCTAGCACCTACTCTGTCACTAAAGGGCAATATGACTTGGGGATAGTCAATCAAACTTCAATGGGCCTCATCTATACAACAAAGAGATTAGAATAAATGAAGAGACGGATCAGAAAGTAAACAGGCAATACATTTTTGATGCAAATTTTCTGTATGTAGATAACCAAAAAGGGATATTTTGGCCTTGTCTTTCGAGACTGAGAAGTGTAGGACTGAGA